CTAATAGCGATCTGCGAGTTTAGTGCAAAAACGCATGATAGCACCGGAGAGCCTGGTGCGTTCCAGTCTGGGTTGTCCGCGTGCACTGCTGTGTCTGTGTTTACAGTTAAGGAATTAACGCGCACTGCGCGTTCTACATGGCTACTCTCGCGCGTTTTACAGTACTGTACTTCCACTATATTCTGAACATACATGTTGGTGAAACTTTGGATATTGATGACTTTAGATGAAAGTTTTATCCCAGTCAGTTGGCGATCAAATATCAGCTGCCCGTTTATGTTGCAAAATATTAGTTTCTTAGGAAGATGTGCAAATTATATTGGCTTCTCCATAAAACAAATGCTTCCGGTTTTGCACACACAGCATAAACACATATGCACAGAATTTGATTACATAAAATTATAATTGTTGGTAACTAACTGAGCCGAAAAAAAATGGTCTTCCTTGCATCATGATCCCAAAAAGAGCTACACCGGGGGATTTTTATTCCCTGCCCTTAATCACGTTTTCAGCTTTTTTCAGTGAGCAAATCCAAAGGTTCGAGTCGTTAGTTTATCTGTGCTTAATTTAGAGCCGTGTTGAAAAGTAAAATACAGTCTTTCAATTATACGATGGACAATAGGTAAAAATCCGAATCTGTTGACTAAACAGAATTTAACTTATTGGTATATCCAGATTCCGGAAAAGACTTAGCGCTGATTTCAACCTATAACCGAAGCTTTCCTTCTTAAAATTTTGTCTTCCAATCGATTTAAATTCTGAAATTTAGTTTCTTGTATAACAAGTCTTGCATTCTAACTCATTTTGCGTTGGTAGAATATCTCAAACAAATTTTGCGCCATTTGCTTCGATTTGTTGTATTTTTTTCATTCTCTCCGTTAGTTTCGGACATCGAATTGCTCCGACATATGGTGCATCGTAGTAGTATTATTAACATCGGATCTACACACTGATTGTCCGAGCGGTCAAGACTACTTGGTATTCAGACGATTTTGGTTCTTATTTACGCGAGGTACAGTGTTTCTTCTTCCATGTCTGTTTTGATTCAACTTTTTGAGGATCATCCGCAGCAAGGACAAAATGTTGCAAAAAATAGCCCACCCTTCACCATATCATTTTGCTAGAGTAACGTTTTTTTGGCTTTTATTTGCAGAAAAGCTTATTAAAGCATACCCGCTGTAAAGGGGTTCTTGCAACCATTACGACATTTTGCCACTTGCAGATTTATAAAAAACAAAGTGTTGCTGCAAGACTCGGGGAAAGAGGCCGAATTTGGAGAGCTTCGTTAGTCGCCCCCGACTTTCTAGGATGTTTTGTTGGGTAAGCATTCGCATCTGAGGCGCTGATGCTGCTGCATTATTTGTGGCATAGCTAATCGGTCTTCGTACTTATAACTTACTGCATCAGCTGTACTTGCTTGTAAACAGGCCTGGAAAGAGGAAGCAAGTTTTGGCAGACGATGGCTGCTGCTGGCATTTGTTATCACTCAGGCTACGTCTCGAGTTCCTGCATCTCTTACAGAGAGCGAATGCCGAAGGGTTTTGACTTTTTGTCAGCCATACTCAGTTTTCTAAATCTGTGTATTCCACGAAATATTTGCTGCATCCTGTGACTAAGGCTTCTAGCAAAAAATTTGCTGCTGAAATGCAGCCACTGTCAAGAAATTCACGGATTTGAGCTCCCGTGGCGCGCCAGACTCAGCTGAAATGCCTTTGGCAAGCAACGGTATCCGCGTCATCTCGCTTTTTCTCTTCTTTTTATTAACAGTTGATCCGCTCGTGTGCTCCATGAATAAGTGACCTTTCCAGCGAAGCTTGCGTTGATAAGCCGATTTTTGCAGCCATTAATTAGAACAGTGCACAAACTGATGCCCATTAGAACCATGTGGTACTGCATTCTAGATTTATAGTCGCTTTCCGTTACTCCTCAGACTCACCCAATTATTTATGCACTATCACGGCCGTCATTATGAGCGCCCAGATGCACAGCTCGCCGGAGTGCCTGCTGGCTAATCCATGCATATCGGGCGTTTAAACACACTTTGCATTATTTTACAGTACATTTTCGCAGCACATCATGTACAAACGAGCAAATGCATTTATTTAAATAAACGAAGCAATAAGGCTTGTCGAAATAAACGCACACATGCAGGACAGTACGGTTTCCGGAGGGCGATGGCTCTCTGATCTTGTTGCTGTACCTGTAAGTTTAGTATTTCTCGTCCACATGGTGCCTCTGTTTTTGCTTGCTGCAGCTTGCATTTTTAGTGTTGTTGTTCGATTTTTATCCGTTTGTTTGTTCCATTCCTTATCCAGCATCCCCTCATTTTGTCTCCCTTACCTGATGGTGATGCATGTCATTTGCCAGTCGCGCATTTGCCAATTCATTGTTTCTTAGGTTTATCTACTCTTTCTTTTTATATTATTAACGCACCACAGTACTTCCACTGATTCAAATGGCTTTTGGAATAAATATGATAGCGACTGCTAGAGGTGTCTATTCCTTGGTGAAATTTTCCAGACTTTAACTGAATTTATATCAGTTGATTTCAGTGGTTCTTGGCTGTTTTTCAGGTTTCCCCATAGTGGATGATTTCTTTCTTTTTTGCTTTTCCCAGTGCGTAAATGATGGGTAATTCACCTTTCATTCGGATGCATCATTACTTCGAGGCTTCGGTAGCCTGTCAACCACAAAGGAACTTTTTCCTGGAGCTTATTTCTCGCTGATTTTGGATGAACTCCTGCGCTTTGGTTAAAATGCAAATACCTGCATTAACAGTTAATGAAAGGCAAAGCTGGAGTGTAACTCATTTGTTCCTATCATTTGCAAAAATTCGAATTGACATGTGTCTCTCCCGCAAAACTTCTTTTTTTTTCAGATTCTAATTTAGTGTTCAGGCAAAATAAGAGACTTGTTTTTATATGGCATACTACTATAATAGTACCTTGGTACTCAGTGAATATCCGTTCAAGACTCAGTTTTTCACCGGTTGGTATTCTACAGTTGAAAATAACATCTGCATTCGTTCCCTTGGTAGCAAATTAAGATTTGCGACGTCATTTTGTTAAAATAGTTTAAAGAGTTTAAAACCAGCTTTCAGTGTTCATTGACCTGTTACCTTGTCCAAAGACAAACCGATATAAATGTACAAATTAGTAATCCAAAATTTCGGCGCATCGTATACACTAAACTGATTAAATTACAGTCATATGCAGTTTTCCTAATGTATCGACTCATCCACAACTGACTAACTTCAGTAGATTGAGCGCTGAAGCAGGTTACAGCGCTGCTTGTTGGTGCATACTGCTGTTAATTCATATGCAATTATGAGCAAAATATGAAGACAAATTTATCAACCATAAAAATGCCTAGGATAATCTCCTACAGGAAGCAAAAATTATTTTTTATTCCATCTAGAATCAGTGTCCGTATAAGATATTCAAGGTTTTTTTGCTTTAACTAGGAATCATTAATGGTTGAATGAACCATGAAAGAAACTACAGAAATTATAAAATCTTTATGCGATAGATATTTTGATCCAAACATTTTCAGGCCTCGAAGCCACGTCTTTCAAACATCACATTTTCGACAGTGACAAGTGCGACAGGCTTACCAACAATTGCTGCTGAGCCTTCCAGGCCTCGATCAACGAGGTAATTTGAAGTAATACTTTTCTTACCATTTTTCTTTAGTCGCATATTTCCGGAAGAATCCTCAGCAGTTTGTTTTTCACCTCTCCGTCGCATTCTGCAAACTTTTCCATAGTTCAGTCAGTCATTGTGCCTCGATTATCCTTTAAAGCTGAATTTGATCTGCATCGATCCTGCGATTTAGTCCAAGAAGCTGTTCTCTGATTCT